CTAATTCCATTGTGGTTATATTCTAAAGAGCAGAGAGCAAACCTTCTTACTGAAGTTTTATTTGTCAATAAGATTAATAGATAAAATGGCATGAACATTTACCAAAGAAAAACAATTTTGTTTTGTTTCCCTATAATAAAAAAACCTATAAAAATTTTGTTGATAAACAAAACTGAATCTTAAGGGGGCAGTCTCCTTCAGTCCCCTTCACTAAGTGTGTTCTTTCCTTGATATATGAAATTAATGATAACCAGATTGAAGAATACCTGTCTTGTCCCTGATTACTTTAGATGCTGCTTTCTGCTTTGTTGTTGCTTATAGTAGCTTCAGTTCAGCAGAATTTCTTTTGTCCATTTTAGTATATAATCACTATTGATCAGCCAGGAAATAGTAGAGATATGAAAAAAGAAATCAAATAGCAACCTTGAAATTACATGCTGGCAGAATCTCACCATGTGCTACCTAAGTTATTCATTTGAGAGAGTTCAGTGCTGAGCTGGGAGTGGCTGGAGCCATGCTGGGACACTTTCCAGTATGCAAGCACAAAAGTTGTATGAGTGAAGTACAATGAGGACTTCTGCTGCAGCACTGTGATTGCCCCTTTGCAGTCAGTAGAAATCTTCTTGAGATGATTGTTAATACTGATTCTTACAGTTTTATGCTGTTGTCAAATTTAGGGCAAGGAAGGAAAGGAAGGAAATGGGATGCAATTATGACATGCCACACTAAGAAATAAGACATTGGGGTTTGAAATGTGTAAGGCACAGGACTTAGCTGTAATGAACAATGTAAACTGAAGTGCTTCAGAAACTACTCAACTATGGGGAAAAAAGACTTTTGTCATTGTTACTAATTATTTAAAATTCCTGTTCTTCAGCTATATTAATGGTATACAGGGAGCCATGTGTGTTGTGTCTATCTAGGTGTTTCCAGTGTGTAGTTTTCACAATTTATACAGCAATGATATGTAAAACACAAAGATTAGCATTTCATTTCAATACTATGTTATTATAATGATGAGTGCAGTAAGGACAGATACATTATTTTTTCTCTCAAAACTTATTTTTTTAGTCATATTAGATGTTCTTACTTAACTTTTAGATTCTTTTTTTCATCCTTGCAATAGCTTTTGGTCCATTTTTGTTTTATATATTTTTTTTTTAATTTATTGAATATTATTAATTAAGGGCCTTAAATTCACAGTAGGAAACAGTGATAACATTTTTTTTTTAGTAAAACTTGTGCAAATTCATTTTTCTGAAAAAATTACTTCACATGCCATTGGTTCTTCTATTTTTCTTTCTATTGAAAGTTTGGAACTTTACTTCTTATTTCTAGGATTGCCTTCCTCATTCCAGGTAAGAGTGGTAAAACTGAAAGAAATTGGTTTTCCTTATGCTGAACCCATTAGCTCCAGCCAGCAGCCAAGCCCCACACAGCCACTCACTCGTTCCCCCAGCAGCAGGATCATGGAGAGAATAAGAAGGATCAAAGCTGGAAAACTTTGAGGTAATAGTTTATTGGGAAAGAAAAAGCCATGCACACAAGCAAAGGAAAACAAGGAATTCATTCAGTGCTTCCCATGGCTGGGCAGGTGCTCAGCCATCCCAGGGGAGCAGGGCCCCATCACAGGTAATGGTGATTTGGGAAGATAAACCCCTTCACTCCAAACATCCTCCCCTTGCTTCTTCTTCCCCCCACTTCATACATTGAGCCATGGTGTCACACGGTCTGGAATATCCCTGTGATCAGTTTGGGTCACCTGTCCCTGCTGTGTCCCCTCCCAGCCTCACAGGCACTCCAGCCTTCTCAGCAGTGTGGAAAAGCAGTAAAGGAAAAGCAGAAAAGGCCTTGGCTCTGTGCAAGCCCTGCTCAGCAACAAAATATCTCTGTGTTATCAGCTCTGTGTTCAGCACAAACCCGTATTAGCCACTGGAAAGAAATGTAATTATCCCACTAAACCCAGCCCAGTCCTATATATAGACATTGTGACCTTAAGGATTTTATAAAGTCTTGACAGCAGAAATAGCCCTTCTAAAGGCTGTGGTCAGCCTGAAAGAACTCTGGACTGAGATTCCTCACTGCTGCCTTATAAAACACTCTTAAATATATTGATAAACCTATTCCCAGTAGTAGCCAGTCAGAAAAAGCCTTTTGTATGTTCCAGTACCCTTGCACAAACCATCTGTGATGTCCACAATTTAAAAATTGTCTACTACTGTCCAGCATGATTTAATAACAACTCATCTGCAGTCAGTAACTCAGCTGCAGGTGAAGGGGTTCATGAGTTCCTGGGGTCAATTCTAACACAATATGCACTCAAATTACATTTTCTGAACTTTATTTTTTGGCATAAATCTATAAATGGCATACACCTTTCATTCTGTGGGAAACATCCTGCTAAAGAGTGAATATAAACAAAATAAGTCCTTAAGAGACACTGATTTACACTGTAGTTTTCATTATTGAAGTGAATATCCTATTTTAAGTTTTAGAGCCTTGGGGTTTTTATTATTCAAAATTGATCAAATAGGGGCATTATTTAGAAATTTCAAATGTATAGTAAGGAAGGGATTTTTATGTTGCATTAAATTAAATGATATTGTCATCATTATAAAGACCTCTCTAATAAAATATTTATATATTTTTTTTCTGAAATAGTACTTTACTTTTTGGTATATATACATATTAGAAAAGCCTGATTAATTATGTAGATATCATGGTGTGTTTAACTACAAGTGAAGTACTTTGTTAATTGGGTTTGCTCACTCACTAGTGCAAGAAAACATTTATTTTGAGTTGTTTTATTTTGCTTTGTTTTGTTTTGTTTTGTTTAGAGTGGCTACTCCCTAACTCTTCAATTCTAGTTTGTAATAAAGCAAAAGTAAATAGATATAGATATGGATATAGATATAGATATAGATAATATAAATATAAATATAGGTATAAATATAGGTATAAATATAGGTATAAATATAGGTATAAATATAAATATAAATATAAATATAAATATAAATATAAATATAAATATAAATATAAATATAAATATAAATATAAATATATGTATGATATTTTATTGAGTGAGCTAAGCCAAGTATTTTCACAGTGAAATAGGAAATGTTTCTCATATGTTTGGAGCTTGTATATTCATAGTCACTTGTGTAATGGACTCCTGGGATATCCTGAATGCAGTTTTCATTATGCAGCTTCACTGTCCTCTTGGGTGGGAGAATTGGTCATCATGGAGTCCCAGGACTGTGGTGTCTGATGAGAAACTCAGTCTTGCTGCAAAAAGCACATTCCCTGGAGGAGGACTGCTAAATATCTTACTTACGTACAAACCTTAGGAGACATTATGGAACCAATTCATCTATAAATATTTTGATTTTTGGTGATAAGAAATGTCAGCATTTCTTACTAAAAGCAGGAAACATATAATAAAATAAAAATGGGTGGGACTTTTGTAGTTTGTGTTTTCCTTTCCACGGTCAGCTGACACAAACAAGCTGTTGTACTTTTGTCAGCAATGAACAATGCAAAATCTCCAGTATGCCAGGACTCAGAAGATATTAAAGTCTCAAAGGGGAAAGGAACTCAAGTAATGATTTGCCAAGAAATAGGTGGCAGCTGTTGCCAGTGTCACAGTGAAAGGTGTTTAGGCTTTGTCCTTAAGCCTCCAGCACAACCCTTGAGCCACGTGCTGTAGCCTGGCAGGGAGATTTTGCTCAAGCAGCTCACTTCTGTTATTCACCCTTCCTGAAGTCTACAGCCTCTTTGTTGTTTCAAGTGTACTCTAAAGCTTACATCAGAAATCCTGGCCCAGAGAGGGCACAGAAATGAGTTGTTTTGTGACCTGAGTATACAGCTTCCTAAAAAGAGGGCTTAGATTTGCTTCAGATTAAATTTAAGAATTTGTGCCTTAGGCTACCCTTGTTCTCTTGATGGGGCTTTATGTGTTCCAGTTCTGTTTCTTCTGTTCTTTTTGCTTTTTCTTTGACTTAAACACGCTGCTAAGTGTGCTTACTCAGTTTTTCTCCCTAGGCTTCAGCAGGGATTGCTGAAAGGTTTTCTTCTTTCTCTAAACCTCAGCTGAGTTCATGGAAGGATGTTTATCCTTTCTTCTGGAAGAAGGAAAAGTGCTGATAGGTAGAAGTCTCTTTTCCCTGCTGAAGCATTTCTCTTCCAGGTGTTTAGGCTGCACCATTCTGGAATCAGCCTTGCAGTGAGAGGTGCAGTGTTGGAACTACCAGCCAATGAATATTTCAATTGCTATCTGATTACTCTAGGAATTTCAGTTCTCTTCCCTAGAAGGCCTGTGAATTTGCAACCTAGTGAAGAAGTCTTCAAGAAAATACTGAGAACATATTTTTGTTCTGACTAATCTCATGAATTAATGAATGAAATGTTTATTCCTTCTTTCACTGCGCAGATTATATTTTTTGTGGAGTTTGGGGTTTTTGTTTATATTGTGTCAAGCTTCAGCTGCTTGGACAACTCTGTCTATTGGTGTTTCCATGCTACTATGGACGAGCCCGGTGCTGGATGCTAGACAATGCTTATCAGTGATTTATATCTTAAATAATAAATCTTCAACTTGTATTATTCATGTCCCAAAGGATTTATTCTTCAGAAAATCCTAAACCTTGTGTTGGTTTGTTAAGAATGAAGGATTATTGCAGACACTTTTTCTCGAATGTGGTCCGATTTCATAAGGGTTTTTGAGGCATGAACCTGTCATTTCTTGCTGCATATGCATTGAAACTCATGCTGTGTGTCATAATGCCATACTGTGTGACCCAGAAGAGTTTATCTGTTCTTTTTTGTTGAACTAAACTTCTATGTGATTGCAGTTTAAAAGTACAGAAGTTTTCTTATATGGTCAGTTCTAGAAATATTAAAATATAATTTTTTCCTTCCTTTAAAAAACAGAATTAAAAAAAAAAAAAAAGGAAAAAACTTTTGAGTAATTCAGCTTTTGTTTTTCCTTTGTGTTTCACCAGTTGAGAAGATACAGAGCCAGTGGGATGAAGTGCATGGATACCTCCAAACCCGGAGGCAGCAGCTTGAAGAGATGTTGAAGGATTCAACGCAGTGGCTGGAAGCAAAGCGAGAAGCTGAGCAGGTTCTTGAACAAGCAAAAGCTAAGCTTGAATCATGGAAAGGAATCTCCTACACTGTGGAAGCTTTGAAAAAGCAGAACACAGAACTTAAGGTCACTACTGAGTATTAAAAGATTTCCATTAGAGTTAATGAAGTCATTAAAGAAAATGTCCTCTAACTGTTGTCCTCTAACTGTGGACAGTGTACATTGCCAAAAATCTTCCATAGCAAACTAAAAAAAATTAACCTGCAAAGTCTAAAATATGTGTCACATATTACAGAATATGAAATTGGTCTTAACAGTCATAACAAATAGCTGTTTGATCTTACCTTTGTAGCACAAGTATTTCACATCTGTTCAACAACAGCCCCAGAGCACTGGTACTGCAGACTGGGAAATCCTGTAGTATTGGTGTGGCTGCCTGTGGCTGCCTGCACTGTTAATGAAGCTGTATAGATTTCCTGGAAGTAATTGAAAAAAGTCACAATTATACCAAACTAAATGGGTATATTTCAGAAATCAAGCATTTTAGATTTGCCACAAGATTATCTCACCAGCTTCAACCTTGACAGGGTTATTAACTGAAAACAAAAACCCTGAAGTGGCTGTTCTTGTGATTTTAGTGCACATTGCCACATTATGGTGCTTAAATGGGTTAACTTATATAGCTGAGCTGACCCCAGGTAGAAAATATTCTCTGTCTGGCATCAATTTTAAGTTTTTTGTAATGGAAACAGTCATACTTTGGTGTCATTCTTCATGATTAAATTTTGAGAACAGCTGTTTAAGATTAATATCTCATTTTCTAGTTGGGGAAAACCAGGATTTAAACCAACCAATCAATCAGCCTTCTAAGGTGACTCCTGCTTCTATGGAGAAAGAGTTAAACAAGTATTTTGTGATAGTCTCCTCTCCTGCCCACCAGATTTTTGTAGGGTTTTTTAACTCCTACCACTCAATTTTTGTTTAAAGTTTATGCTCTTAACGCAGTCCTGTTTACACAGCTGAATGGTAATGAACTGCTGTGAAGAGTTCATGTGGTAAGGTCCTCATCAAATGGTTTTACTGCCAGAGAAAATATATGTAGAACTTCACAATTGGTTCAGTGATCTCCATCATCAGTTAATTATTGCATTTCGAAGTAAATGCAAAATCTGTTGGGGTTTTTGTTTGCTTTTTTTTTTTTTTTCTTTTGCTTGCCTGTAAGAAGCATAAAATGTTCATTAACTCATTGTTTTAGAGCTGAGCTGAGGTTAAGTTTTCTCATTTAAGATTGTGGCAAAAGGGTCATTGCTTGGGAAGGGTAGATTATGGTAAACAAGGGCAATCACTCACTAATGTATTGGAAAGAGTTATAGCTCTTGTGTAGTACTGTCATTCAGCATAGAGGACTCCCATTTGTCACTGTCTTCCTGCAGAGATACAGTCCTGGCTTCTGCCCAGTGTTTGTTAAAAAAAAAGGAAAAGCTGAACAAAGTCAATGTCTCAGCTCTGCAAAGACTCAATTAACAAAAGAAACAGTTCTGTGCAAGCACTGTCTTATAATATTGAGTGTCTTATGTTTTGAAAACAAATTACTTAACTAGAAAAACAATTGAAAATATTGCTTTATAAATGGATTTTTGTCCACTTTTTTACAAGAGTATATGAAGTTGAGATGAGGTCCATCTAAGAGTGTATGCTTTATGAAAAAAAAATGTGAGGTTGCTTTGGATCAACATTATCCACGGAGAGAAATAAGAACATGCCATTCTCCTCCTCCAGCCCCAGAGTTCCAGAGAAAGAATAATAGTGTACTTACTCACAGAATGCATCTCTACCTATAAACAGCTTGAGAATGGAGACCTGCAGACTCTTTTGCCTCTTACTTTAGAAGCACTTGGGCTATGTGTAATCACAGCCATTCCCACCAGTCTGGATCCAATGAGATGGATGTGTTGTGTCAAGTTACAGACATTAACCCATAATTTTAATTTCAGTGTCTCAGCTAGTCCATCTTAATTTGTGTCCTCCTGATGCTATGAACATCAACAAGCTCTACTCTTCCAGGATTGTTAACTTTCATTTTTTAGGTTTTGCCTAGCCTTTCTTCCTCAAGTCTAGAAAAAATTCATCTCTGTTTAGAGAATAGGGAATAGGAGGGGTGGGGGAATTTATTTTCTTTTTCTTTCTTCTCCTCTTTGTGTTTTTTTCTGTGCCAGCCTTCCTAGAGGAATTATCTTTGTCTGCCAGTAATTCCTATTGTGTCAAATCCTTCATCAAAGTTTCTCGGATGTGACAGCATCAGCTGTTATGTTCATGCTTGAAATAAGGGGTCATGAAGTCTAAGGAAAATGGAAATTTACTATTTTTTTTTTGAGTTAACAGCTTTATGTTTCTTCTGTACAGTATTAGCTAAACTGAAGGACCTAGAAATATATCAAGTTCTCAAAATAAATGCTTTCCAGGCTTCTGTGCCAAACACATATATTTTGATGTTGTCCCCTGAAGATGTAGAGTAAGTAGGCTGTCTTTTGGCTTGCTGTTGAAGAGGAAGCTGAAATTTCTATTCATTTGCTTTGAGGGAGAGAGGTCAGTGCAAGACTTAATAAATTCTTTAGGCATTAATTTTGTCAGCTTTGTATCTCAACACAGCTCAATGTGAGAAAGTAGTCACCAACTGTTCTTCTGATTTTCTTGTTTAACATTGTAGGTCTGTCTAAAGACAGCTGAATCAATGTGTAGACCCTTCTTCTCTAGGGGAACTTTTAATCAGTGCTGGTGTTAATGCACTTCTGTTAGGGCATCCTAATACATGAGCACATGGTAAACTCAGCAATACCAGCCTCTCCATTCTTATTTTTTTACAATGCCAGCATAAAACAAAATTCTATAGCTTGCTTGTGTTTAGCCATTAATGTTTTTAAAATAATTTTAAAATTTTGTTTCTGACATTTAAAAGATAAAAGTAACCAGGCATAATAGCTAATAATTTAAAATATTATTAATTTTAATCAGAAATTAATGCAGAATTGAGAATTAGAACATTTTTTAAATTTTTTTTACTTGGTATTCAAGTACTAAACTGGTGTTAGGTGTGAGGAATCAGAATATGGCAATCTGGCCAATGAGAGTCTTTCCCCATTAAACCCTGTTTTTTATTGTTCATTGGGTGATGACTGCAGATGGTTAACTCAGCAGGCTGAAGGTTATAGGTGTATAAATAGTACACAAACACACCTCAACTCCTTGCATCAACATGTCATCAGAACATAAGCTAGTGTAAAATAGCCTTTTCTTAATAGGATATTAAGCTGCTGTTTGAATGAGAAGAAAAAAAAAATTAAAAACCCACCAAAACCAAACCAAACTGCTAGGATTGACTGTTCCCTCCTTGGCTCCTTGCTTTGGTAGGAGCTAGTGAGGCATCTTTCCTCCCTCTGTGCAAGTTCATTAGGGATAGCCAAAGTGAAGAGGAGGAAGGATGGACACAATGTTTTATTCCTTTCCTTCACTGACCAGTTATTTCTCCGTCTAAAAAAGAAATTAAATAGCAGCCTGATTACATCCCCTGCCCTGCTGGGACTCAATAGGCCAGGTAGCCTTCCACTGTCAGAGCCCAGGGTGTGAAATATATGTCCTGAATTTGTGAATAAGGCTGAGGCTGCCTTTGCCTGCCTTTCTTGCAGCATAGGAACATACTAGGACCCTTTTGCCATTCCCTGTGTACCAGGATGAAGAACAAAATCAGCATTTTGTGGGTTTTTATTATTCCAGGGCTGACAGTGTACTGCCTTGATTTCACTAAAATAATTATGTTCTTGTTATTGACAATGTTGCAAACACCAAATTAGAATTCCTTGATTAAAAAAATAAATTCTTTAAGCATATATATAAAACATGCTGCAGATATACAGAAAAAAGACAGAAAGTCTGATTTTCCAGATTTGTGATATATACACAGAACTGGATGGTGTTGTACATACATATTGCTATATTTGAACTTCTGTGTATCATTGATTTTGTTCCACTGGGCAATCCTTGGATAAAATAAAGTGCAGCTCTGATTTCATTACTTGTTTTTAATCAAGGGCTCTTAATTGCACAGGCTTTATTCCTAATAGCATCAACTAGTCTCTTCTAATCAAAAATTATAAATAAATTTATACCTAAGTAACATGATAAATGCACAGCCTTAATTCTTTAAGCCTTTTAATAAACTCAGAAAACTCCAGTGATAACACAGGCAAAACAAAGAGAATGCTTTAAATAGAATTCCAGAAAGAAATTAAGGTAATGTAGCACTTTCCTTTAAAAAGAAAAGAACAAATGTGGTCTCAAAGAGCTAAAAGATAAATGAGGCCTAAATACACAAAAGGGAAAAGAGGAAACAAAAAAAACCCACAAACTGTGAGTATAATTCTGAAGTATACATTGCAGTAATGTAGGAGAACAGGTTAATGGGCCTCTGGTGGCATAGACAGGTAAAACTTGTACCCCAACACTTTGTTCTCAGTGTCTGCACACAGAGCAAAGTTGAAGCATGCACTCCTCAAAGCTGTTGAAAACTCACATATCAATTTCCAGTAAAACAGAGAATACAAATAGTTTCCATCACCAAAGCTCTCTACATTCATCATTTCTTTCCTGACTGACGACCTCGTGTTGTAGTGTCAGGAAGCTAATGGATTAATGTTGAAGTTAATGGTGAGAACAACACTTTTGGAAATAACCTTGTAATGGATATTCACATATTTTTTTATTATAAAACAAGGATTCAAATCTTTTAGAAAGTCAATTTTATAAACATGGGTCTGGGCAAAAATATCTTATTTTCAAAATAAAGTTTACAGACCATTAATTTACAATGCAGGCAAGATGTTATGGTAACTTTTCTATATGAAGCAGTGAACAGTCAGTCTGCTGTGATTCTTTGGCTGAGAATAAAAACTACCTGCATGCCTGTGTAATTTTAAACAAAGAGAAAGGTAGGGTAAAACAAAGACAAAAAGACCTAAATGTAAAATAGATACTTGCTATATAAAACCTACAAAACTGAAATGGCAATTACTGTAGAATTTATTTACTATTTAGTATTTTGTGTATATATTATTATGTTTATGTAAACATGAAAATTTATGTATTTGTTGCATATCATTCTGGCAGGAAAGGAGCTCAATTGGAAAACTGTTTCCAAAACAACAACATGTCTGTATCTTCCTCAAAGAAAACCTAGTAGTGTTTTCTACAATATTATCACCTCCCCTGTCTAGATCTCCTTACTTAGCAAAGAGAAATTTCTTTTAAAAATTGTCTTGACAGCTTCATCTTAGGTGAGCTTAACCAGAACATGTTCAGATGGTTTCCAGGATTAGGGGTTTGTAGGCTCCTCCTAATGTTGGATTGGTAGAAAGAGGATCCCTTGTTCAAAACAGATAAACAAGGTGTTGTCGAGTGCCCAGTAACAGAGGCACCTGCCCTGCCATGAAGGAAGAGCACAGGAAAGGGGGGAAGTGCCTGTTTGCAGTTTTAAGTTATGGAGAGAACCCAGAGGTGCTGAAGTAGCCTTTTAACATAGAAGAGTTTGGGGGAAAAATTGAACCCCCCGCCCCCAAAACTCCATTTGGACTCTATTCAAAGAGCAAGTGCATTTTAGTCCCAGTCTAAATCAAAATGAGCTTAAAGACCTTCTGAGATTAAAACATAAATGCATAAAATATTTAACATTTATTTATTTTTACTTAGTATTTAGAGTCCTTCACTAGGGATTACATGTAAGTTCAGCTCTATGTGAAGAATTCCTTATCTGAGTCAAAACAAGATTTCAAAAGAAACACTGCTCTGGGAGAAAGAAGGGAAAAAAGCTATTTTTTTCTCTACAGGCCTTTCCTGATTTATGTAATGAAGCAAAACAATAAAGACAGTTGAGTCTTACTGTTTGTTGTCAATAGCTTCAAATGTTTACATGCAACTTACTCTTTCTATTTACAAACTGTTTTTCAACTTGTATGGTCCATTTTTTTTGGCTAGTTGGAGTCTGTTTAGTACAGAAGTACAAGCAGGCAATCAATTAACTTTGCTCTTTCATTTTGTTGTTACACATTATGGATTAAATACACAGCTTCAGTGCATTTATATGGAAATTTGCTCAGAGAGAAAGACTAACAGGAAAGATGCATGGGAGCTGGCTGCTGGCTGAGTGACTATTCTGGATTTCCTGGCTTGCTTCTGCAGTGAGGCAGCTGGTCTAGGTGGAGAGGAGAAAAGAAAGAAAGGAGAGGAGAAAGTGGAGAGGAAAGAGGGAAACAAAGGATGATCAAAATTAAAAAAGCTTTTTAGTATTAAGCATAAATTAACATTATAAAGATATGGATAGGCTTACCAGTAGTTATTTTGCTGTATTGCAGATTTAATGCTATTCCAGTAGATGGCACTAATTACATAAACAATTTACTAAAATGAACTACATTTTTTAAAAAACAACCTGAAAACACAGGTATTTAATTGTCCAAATCAGTATTATTTCACAGTATAAAAATTAAAATTAGTCAGAATATATGATTTAACTGTATTTTCTCTTTCGGTATTCAATGTCAATTCAACTACAAATAATTGTAGTTTCCATAATGCACAGTAATCCATCCATCTATTTATGTCTCCAAAAAGAATAATCAACATTCTAATCAATGGTTATCAATTTCAGCTGTCATGTCTCCTCCACTATTTAGAAGTTGGTTGCTTGGTCCTCTCAGAGTTTAGAAGTAGTTCTGTGGTCTTATGTCTAAAAGAGTTTAAAACATTTAGGAAGACTGATTTTCATTTCCAGTAAATCTGAGCAAGTATTTTTTTTCTTTTTTTCCTTCTTTTTATATAGATGGTATAAGTTACTCAGCTCCTTTTCTAATAATCATACAATGTATGTAAACATTTAGTGTTTTTCTGAGGATTATTCTTTCTTTCTCTTTTTATTTCAGCAATTCTCAAAAGAAATACGACAATGGCAAATAAATGTAGATGTGGCAAATGACATGGCCCTTAAGCTGCTCCGTGATTATTCAGCAGATGACACCAGAAATGTGCAACTGATGACAGATAGTATCAATGCTTCGTGGGCTGCCATTAATAAAAGGTAGGATACAAATTCTGCTGTTGGATTTGTTGTTGCTCTCCATTAACATTTGTTGTCCAGCTGCAGTTGGAGATTATAGAAGGTGAAGCTTTTGCAAATGATGTGACTGCAGAGATTGTGACTCTTCTGTAGAATATTTTTTTTAAATATGTCTTTAGAATAGCATTTAATTATGGCAAATAAAATTTAGCCCCCTGCCAATTGTCCTCTGCTATAAACAGCAGCCAACTAACTTAAGCTGATAGGTTTTATTTCAAGTATTTAAAATTGTTTCATATATCTGTACTATCTCCACATCACAATCACAATAGTGATTCTGACTCATAAACCAAATCTGAAAATGACAGACATATCCTATTGAAGCAAAGTATCCTATTGAAGCAGGTTCAAAGTAGAAATGTTATCCTGTATCTTTGAAGCAAATCTCTAGTCAAGAAAGTTTTTATTAAATCCTTGACCACTTTCTTGTTTACATTTTGCAGTCTTTCAGTGTTTGGTTTAGATAACAATTCCTTATTAAAAACAATTTTTTTTTGCAGCTTGCCAACAAATTGTGAATCATCTAATTTGCAATCTATAAGATTATAACATATTGCAGTAAAAATTACTTTCTTTATAATAATAAAAAAGTTTAAAATCACTGCACATAAGATTAGATAAGTAAAAATTATATGAAAGTTGTTTTAATCAGTATCTTGGATTAAGCTTTATAGTTTATAACTGAAACTATAAATTAATTAGATATTAACATGTTTTTAATTAAAGTCTATGAACAAGGCCAGAGAAGTCAGTTTAGCTAAATATGTAGTAAATTCAGTAGATCTTCTCACATAATGGTGGTTACTTAAATCACTGATGACTACAGAAGTTTAATGTCACTTCTTGTTTATTTTGATGGCCATATGAATGAGTCACTTTAGTAGCATTTTCCTGAAACAAACTTACAACTGACTTAAAACCCTGTTCAAATGAGAAAAGCAATACTCTTGATGTCCACTAAAAGAAAGACACACAGTAATTAGAAAGTTTTTATTTTTAACTAAACTGAGATTTTAGTATAAATATTCCATTTATACCTGTTTGCATTTCTCCTGTTATAGAAATAGTTGGTTTAGCTTTATTAGAAGTAGCCATATATTTAGGAAATAATGTTTTGCTCACTGTGGCCTGAGAGAGAGTTTGGGGACTGTCTGTTGCTGGATGAGTCTAATGCTCAAAACATTCCCCATGAGTAGATACAATCAGCAGCTCAAAAGGATTAGATGTGAGAACCAAAGGAAAGTTCTTCTGTCTGTATTTAGAACTACAACCCTTGCATGGTGAGAAGTCCAGGATATGTGTGTAGCTGCTGTGGCTGCTCTGCACTAATTGTGGCCAAGGGTGCATTTTTAAATCTGTCAATGCCTCAGCACAAGCCCAGGTGTGTCTAATGTTGCCCAAAGGTGAGAATGCCATTCTTGCATGGACTCTGCCAGGTGCTAGGCTGAGAGAGAGTACAAATTCTTCAAAACACATTCCTTGCAAGCTTCTATAAAATGCACAGAGGTGTTAGATGAATTACTATAGTAAATATTTTTTATCTAAAAAGAGACCTGCTTAGGTGACTGAACTGCCATTTCCCTTAAAGAAGTACAAAAGGATAGGAATAAATATGAACTGTAAAATGAGTATCCTAGTTTTTATTGTATGATGTTGTTGCATTTCTAATATATTTTTAATTTCTTCTTTTGTAAACAGCTTTTGTAACACTTGTCATGATTTGGGAACTTGAAAAAGGAGCATGCTGCAAACAGTAGTTGATAAGCTTCTCTAAGGGCTGGATCACATTTTTGTTGGTCTTTTGTGAGACATTGATAAATATGGACATACTAAGGCATCAAGTCAGCACAAGTCTTTTACTTGGAAAATTTTCAGTGCATGTAGATTTTTTAGGTTTCTTTGAAGCACTAGTCAGGCATTTTGCTCATGCAGCAGCTCCTGAGTGAGGTCTTGAAAAAATGTCCTAGATTTCTGGAGGGTTTTAAAGACATGTAGATGTGAGACTTAGGGACATGGTTTAGAGGTGGCTTTGGAAGCTTTGGGTTAAGGCTTTAACTTGATGATCTCAGGGGTCTTTTCCAACCTAAATGATTCTGTGATTCCTTTGTTAAACAACCCTGTGGAGAGACATAATGAAGTCTATGGGCTTTTGGATGATTTAAATGCCAACTTGTTCTGTTTTTTTGAGGAGATTTCACTTTGGATTTTTTTCCCCTCCTTCTATGCTTCGACTCCAGCTTTCAGGTTATTGCATAGAGAAATAAAAAATGGAGAAGGTGTTATGGTTTTGGGGATATTTTGAACTGTAAGAGAATATTTACTCAGTAGAAAGGAGACGTGTTTTGTCACAGTCTTCAAGAAAAGCTAGTTTCCATTCAGATATGTATGCAATGATTTCAGATATATCCATGTGTTATTTTCATCTAAACAATGAATAGTGCTCTGATGACTTGGTCACCTCACAGTGATAGTAGAAATAGATTCAAAATTATGTTCTTGACCAGTATTTTACAAGCAGTTTTATCACTTTTTGTGCGTATCTTAAGGGTCAAGAGGAAGTATGCAGCTGAAAATTTTGCTTTCTCTCTCTGTATTGCCAAGTTAAATGGACCAAATATTATGTGAATATTTTCTTTTAAAAATTAAGGGTTGCTTACATTGTTTTGAACTGTTTTTTTCTTAAACCTGTTACTAATATCAGAATTGTGTGTCAGTGTAAAAAAAATGTGAAACCTGCTTTTCCATGAACAAGTTTACTGAGACAACAGGCAGGCTAGCAGTACTAAAATTCCACTTTGCCTGTTGGTAACAGTTGCCAAAGGAAGTACTTCAGTCATAAAGGCAACATCTGCTAGCTTGTGTTTTGTTTTGCTTAAGTAGATTTGCAGCTGATTGCTGTGTGTTTACCCTTTGCCTTACTGTTGTGTTTTACAACACTGAGCTATAACCAGTACCTCTCTAGGTCCTTTAAGGGACAAGCTGGTGAATGCTGGATGGCTGCTTCCCTTTTTTACACCAGACACTTTTTAATTTTATTTTTGTTGTTGATACTGCAAAGGTACACTAAAAAGCACATAACATGTCACTTGGGAAAAAGCCAGACTGACTTGTAAACAGGCCTCTTCTCTTGTAGAACCATTGACTTTCCAAGAAATAGCAATATTATTTAAGCTAAAGCAATTAAAGAGAATATGATCTCTATTGCTTGCATTAAGAAAAATAAATCTAACAGATGAAGTCTTCTCAAGAGGGAAAAAAGTGCAATGATAGAAGCAACCATTAGAAATTTGCTATATAAAAAAAATATTTGTTATAGTAGTATTATGTTACTCCTTTTGTTGAGGACACACATTTTTTGTGACTTACCATTAAAAAACATCAGTTGCTTGTATTTTCCTTTCCTGTGAATCAAATAAATGTGGATTATCATTAGCTTAAACATTAAGCTAAAAATGGACTTAGATCTTTCTTAAATGGAGTGTCTATTATGAAAATAATTATATAACATACTTCAAGAATTGTTTAGGATTCCAAACCACCCCCATGTAATAGACATCTTCAGATATTCACATCACCCAACATTTCCTGTGGCCAAGCTCAAGGGAGCTCAGGCCACACAGGAGGTGTTGGGAGCTTTCACTGCTCAAGCGTTTTGGCTCCTGAGACAATATAGACAACACACCACAATCTAAACAAAAAAAGTAACTTTCTTTTCCCCACTACAAGGTATGAACAGTGAAAAATCAGTGTGAGGAGAGTCAAGGAGATGTGTTTCTAAACCTGTTTGAAAGACCTGAGGTACCAATTTCCATGTTTAACTAAGAGTGGTGTTAATTCTCGAATGCAGGCAGTTGCATAAACACCTTGATTTTGCTCATCAGCTGGACAGTGTAAAATGTAAATGGCCAAACAAACTAAGGACATAAACAGTACAAAAGTGTGATGTGTATCTCCTTCATATGTAAATGCCTAACAAAAGAGTAATTCTAAGTGTGAAAAATGTCATCACCTAGATTTAGTCCTTCAGCAGCAAACTATTCCTAATCAACTGCTGCTTGTTATAAAGATACAAATATTAGAATGTAACCTTTATCTGTACATTAATTTTGTAAGTGTAATTTTGTGACCTGCACTGAAAGAGCTCAATCATTCTGTTGGAGACAGATTTTCTTAATATACTGTACCTATCTTAACACTACTTTATGTTCCTTGTGGAAGTAATCACATTTGCTTTACAGTTGTATTGCATTCTGGGTGAGAAAAACTGCATTTACACAGCAGCAGCAGCTGCCAGAAGTGTGAATTTTGTTGAGTTATACTGAAGATTCATAGTTGGTTCCAGTATCTAGACTGTATCTAAGAGCCATCTCTGCAAAGCTTATTTGCTCTTTTTGGCTTGGATTGCTCAAGTCAAGCAGCAAAGAATTCACAATCTCCAAGCAAGCTCATCCTTTCCCTCTCCACTCTCCTGCTGTTTTGAAGCTTGGTTTGCATTCCTAAAATCTGTATAGAACCTGAGTATGAGCAGCTCCAAAAAATTCCCTGTGCAGGCACACTTTGTGGCCATGGGAATCTTGTTTACCTGAGAAGTCTGTTTGCATATCTGTGCCTGCAGTTGTTGTCCTGGCTATAGAGCTCCATTCATGGGGGTGTGAGCAAGAAATCCTGCAAATGTGACTTTAGATAAAGATGAAAAATGTAACTTTCTAATATAAATTTATTTTTTCCCAAAAAAAAAATACTATGATAATTTTCATTTTTATCATCATTCTGTGGTGATTTGTTTTCAATTTAATTTGGTCAGGCTCAAAGAAAGTAGATGTGAAGGAGACTACTTTACAACGAATATATAATGCTGAAGCTTGTTATTTGCAGCTGTTTAGCAATGGATTCTAATGTAAAATTGCAAAATCTGGTGGAAAATATTGTAATTGTAGGACAGTTATTTTGTTTTGTGAGAG